CTTTATAGTATCGGTTTGAACTTCTGTTTACAACTTGCTCGGAGCGTCAAGAAGACACTGTGGAACGTACCATTCCTAAAGGGTTTGCAGACATCGACAGTTAGAGGCGTCATCGTATGCAAAGAGTTACAACTTATCCGAGTGACAAGTGAAGGAGATTCTCTTGATCAATTTTCTGTTCAACCGTTGTGACACCACTCCTCGTCCAGAATTTTGTGAATAATTGGATGGGCCATGTGAAATGGTGTTGAGAGAACAGGATGCGGCACTAGAAGGTAGAACAAAAAATATGAGTGAGGGGTGATGCCATAACGATTGAACAGATAATTGGTCAAGTAGATTGTCTCCCCTCATCACTTTAATAAGTTGTATCTCTCTGCTTGCGATGGCGCCTCTCACTGACGATGCCAGCGAAACTTTTGGGAATGTACCAAGCAAATGGTACAGTGCTGGAAACCACGAATACTATGGCAAAGGACACGGGACTAGGTACGTTCCATAAGGCCTCCCTGACGCTCCAACCAAGTTGCGAAAACAACGTCGATCCAACACTATTATCTTCAGCCTGACAGGATTGTAGCTTTAAGAAGGATCAGCTCCGACAGCTTCAAGCATAAAGAGAAAAATTAAGATAACTACTAAATAAAAGTCCTATATACCAGAGACATTAAAGCTGCTTTACCATATATAATGATAATAAAATGGCGGGATTCAAATATAAACCGTAAAGGATCTGAAACGAATAGACCCAATGACTGACCTGCTATGCCGTTGTTCGGTGTAGGCGTTGCCGTTCTCCGAGCCGATAGCGAAGTTGTTAACATCATTTGCAAAAAAGTCCATACAGGTCGGATAGACATCAAACAAGCCACCAGAAATCTTCTCGCATATCTTAGTCTTCTCACGCGGCTGTGCCAGCATTTCGAGATTCCAAGAGCACAAGGATCCATCAGAGGCCAGGCTTACGATGTTGTGTGCATTCTGAGTGCCGACTAAGTTCACAGAGTAGACCGGATATGTATGCGCTCCCGAGCTCAACGGGCTTCGCTGGACGGGCGTCCGCTTGTTCTCTCTGATATACCGCATATCCACAAATAAATGCGTATGTGTAAACACAAGTATGACATGAATGTGGAATAGTAATTTATGAGTTAAAAAAATCAAAAGAGCCAAAATATAGGCGAATAGAGAAGGAAAAGGAACAATGTCTGATGAAAATACAAAATAAATTAAGAAAAGTACAAGATTATCTCTTTTTTATGATAAAAACGAGGGTAATTTAAATTCCTGTTGGTCGTTTATATCAATGTACATATACTCCTTTTATTATTCCGTAACACTTTCTTCGAACTCCGTTACACTTCACGTTAAAAAAACAAGGTTAATTGTTTCTATCACATTTGTTATTGAACTATTTGAGAAGCCATTAATTTAGGAAATGTTAATGCTTTCGACATTG